CCGCAAAAATAGAAATTGTATTCATAGGCCTAATATTTTTTACATTTTTAAATATATAGTAAGATCTATGATATCCTCGGATACAATCAAAACAGAAAGAATATAACAAAAATAATCCAAACAAATAATAATTAGAAAAAATAACTCAAAATACTTTAAAGAAATATATTCAAAATACTCTCGGCATAGTAAAATAAAATTGTCCATATCATAGAGTTGGTAAACAATGCTATGACAAATACAGTTCCATAGCCGATTATTTTGTTACTTTTAAAGGACGTATTTATTTGAAATGCGGAAATAAGGAATTGTAAAAACTGTAAAATATAAACCTAGTTAAATTCTAATCACTAAATTAATAAATATCACATTGATTCCTGCAAAAAATAATATGAAATTAACGGTTTATGCAATTGTCACAACATTAAGGTACAGTGGAACTAAACATCAAATATACTATAAAACAAACCCCTTGAAAAGATAAAAATAAAATATTTCTCTTATATTTACAAAAGTAATACCATTAATTTACAAAATATACAATAATATCTTTAGACATTACAAAAATAAAATATTTCTCTTATATTTACAAAAGTAATTACAATAATTTACAATATATACAAAATTAATTACAATAATTGACATTATATATACTTTCTTTTTTAAGGTTACACAAACACTTTTAATTTTTTTTAAAAGATATTACAACATATAGTGAAACCGCATAATAAATTAAATTGGATTCCCCTGGACTGGAAAAATAACAGTTGCGAAAGTATGAACAATATATTAAAACTAGCTGCAAACTGGAAGTCTCTTAAAATTACAGAATTGGTAGAAAGAATACAGAACATTGTTAAACTACAGCTACTAGATGTTCGTCGTGCAATACATGGCCAAGGGAATTTTGAAGTGGCACAATGGATGTCAAATATTGTTGTGAAGCAAGTGCATTGGGCCGGAAAAACGGAAGAACAAAAAACAAACATTTATAAAAAATTTATGAAAGGCCCGCCAAAAACGGAAAAAAGTATATGGTCTACAAATGGAGAGTTGAGAACCCCAAAGACCAATAAAATTGCTAAAAAACCAGGACAAGGGCAATTTGAAGTGTCACCATTTCCAATATAGGGAAACAATTACATTGGCCAGGAAAAAAACATTTATAAAAAAGTTTTATAATAAATAAATGAATGAAAATAAATTACAATATTTTATAAATATATATGTAAACAGAAATGCCAATGTACTATTGCAATAAACACATTGATGAGAAGAGATGAAAACATTTGGTGCATTTGTATATTGTTTGACTATTTTAAATTCAGAAATGTGCCATGGATATTGTTCCGACGATATACGAGCTGACTCTAACTTAAATTTAATCTTGTCATACACGCCATGGAATATAGGGGGATGTCGGAAGAATATCCAGTCACTAATAAAATTAATTAATACAGTAACATTAGGCCTACTGTAGTTCAATCTCAAATTGAAGTGATGCCACAAAATTTAATGGTCACAATTTACTCTATGTAGTATATAAAATTGAATTTTAATCAATTTTGATTATACACAGACTTTAGGATTTCTATCTCAACATTTAAGTTCCCGAAACAAAAAGAATATTTTCATTCAAAGTCCTAATAATAATTCCATACAGAGGGCAATTTCCATGTATCACAACTAATCAGTAAATTTAATTTATATATAATATTAAATATAAATTATGAATATTCACAGAAATTGTAGGAACAATTTCTGCTTCAACATTGCTGTAGTATTGAAACAAGGAAATGAATATTTAATCTAAAGGCATTACCTACTATTAACGATATTCCAAGCAGAGGGAAATTTATTTACATAGTATTTCTATTTAATAAAAATTAATAAATATTCTTATATATAAATTATAAATATTCAGACACTGACAAGCAATCTTATTCTTAGTTCTGCTTCAACATTTGGGTTCCTGAAAAATACAATGAGCAAATTTACCCATGCAGGAAATTATTTACGTGATCATTATTTCCATACTGTACTGTAAATAATTAAATATTATAATATTTTAATTAGGATAGGCCCTATTCAGCTGACAGGCTTCTTATTCTTGGGTAAGGCCTACTACAGTAGGATTTCTGCCTTTGGGTTCCTGAAAAAATAAAAGAAAATGAATATTTTGATCAAGATATTAGGGGCCTAGGCCTAGCTAAATATTAACCGATTCAATATTTGCAGTCTTCTTTAATAACAAATTAATATCTCCGGTCCTCCTAGCTAGGCTCCTGCTGTTCTCCTGCCCAGGCCTAGGCCTAGTATTTCTCTGGCCGTATCACAGCCGTTTATTACTGTCGCGCGCTGCCAGTCATCACACTCAAACAAAGACACAAACGACTGCAGAACGGTTCGACTTCGTTTATTGAAGCAAGGAAACATCAAAATTTTCCAACAAAGGGAAAATTAAAAACCCCAACAAGTTAACGGCAATCATTAGCCTGCAAAGACAACACAAC